TGGGAACCAAAAAGAACTGTAGTTCAAACAAAATACAGAATTTGAAATAAGGGATTAAACTGGCATCCTAAATCATGGGGTTCTCATGGATAGTAGTCTCCTCTGACTCCTAGAGGATATTTAATTAAATGTGTTTAATAAATAATAGAATAATAGAAATCATTCCCTCAGAGATAAAATTGGCCTCAACTTGTTTCTTCTCTAAAAAGGCCTTGAAGCCATGGTTTTGTCAGCAGGCTTGGGGACTCCATATGGAGCCAATTAAATGGCTTGTCTGATTTTGTTGTGAATTTTTAGATGTAGATTTTTAATATTGCACTCCGCCCAGAGCCACTGTGTAGGAGTTGGACAGCTAAATAACTTTGTTTAATAATAAATAATGCACAAGATGAAATTGACAAAACACCACCAGTAATTAAAAAACTTCCCGTACTTACCATCTTGCTGTAAATGTTCCCGGAAACACTGGAACTTTTTATCTATGTCTTGTAGATTCTTGGTGACTTGAAGGAGCCTGTTAGAGCAGTATTTACTACCAACCAGGCCTTCTGCAGTGGCCCAAATATCACTCAGGAGTTCTGGATTATTGGCTAAGGATTGAATATCTAGTTTTGATTGCTTGCCATTGCAAGTGTATCTGAAGTCATTGGGCTCCATTCTCGGACCCTGGTTACAGGTTATATTCAGCACTGTTGTTCCACATCGCTAGCAAATTACATATTCTGTTCTTTACCAGGATAATCTATCAGCTCCAGAATCTAATGTAGCTCATGAACCCAATTAACTCTCAAGCCTCCAGTCTTTATGCTTTTCCTTGGTGCATTATTCTCAGTTTCCAAAAAGATATTCCTGTACTTTTATAAAAATCGAACAATTCATCTGACAAGTCAGAGTCCATTAAGGGCAGCTGAACAATCTTCATCGTTCAAGTGAAGTTCAGGAAGGCAGCAATCTAGATAGGTCGAGGAACAGATCTCTTCAGTCTCCAAGCATTAAAAGAAGACGAACATGATGGTTTCCATTAAAATGTCCAGAAATTCATTCTTAGCTCAAAAACAAGCCTTGCATTTTCTGTAAAGAGAAAAATGTGGTTCCTCGAAAAGAGAGGAAATGGTTCTTTACAGAGTTCTCCCAAAAGGTTTTTGAAGAAAAGTGTTTCTAGAATGTGACATTACTTCTGGAGAAGGTTGCCTCTCTTTCCCAAAAAGATAATCTCTTGCTCACTTTCTCTTTGAAATGTTGTACCTTTAGAGATCAGAATGTGTCCAGCTGCTACCTGCCATTCTTACTCTCAATTTCATCTGAGAACTAGATGTGGAAATGCCAGGACACGTCCCCTATCTGTAGAGAATGGATGAGCCATTTGGGTTACACACACAAGAATGACAGCCGATGCAGCTTTTCCACATTCCTTTTGTAGGAGTGATGAAATGAGAGGCTTCTTCCCACAGTATCTCTGTACTACATGAAAGAAAGACAATGTTCCTCCTTTACTCTTTCTTATTAACCACTTCCTACCTGAATCCCCAGGAAACATTTTCAGGGTGTGGTTCCAAGGCCACAGGTAGAAGGAGAACTTTCCCAAACGAAAGTCACAATTGAATGAGAGAAGACCTGTCTACATTTTTGAATTTGTCCTGGCAAGCTAAAGTGCAGAAATTTAGTGTTGGAAAGGAAAAACTAAATTATGAACAAGGGAAGTCTCCTTCCAGTACCACAAATAATGACAGCTTTTTCTAACACAATACTCTGAAGGATGGTGAGAACTGAAGTTCCAAATATCTGGAAGACACCATGATTAGGAAAATGACATTAAATATCTTATGACTGCCCCACTCCCACTTCAAAATGGAGATACTGATTTATTGCAAGGTAGAGATTGACAACTCAGGTATGTCTTTCTACATACAAGGAATATTTGTGCATGTGTATTATCTGAAATTGCACACATTTTGTGGCCTGATCTGGCAGCTGACATGGCCCTCAGAACCAACAAGATTACCTGTTCCTACCTTGCAGGACTGTTGCAAGACTAAAACAATATATACTGAGGTAGAGAAGCTCTTTCAACTAAAAGCAACTGTTTTCCAATATTAAAATTCTGCATATTTAATTACAATGCTGTATCCTCCCTGTAAAGTAGATCCTGCATACCATATGCAGGTTGGGGTTGAGACCTCAGAGAATAGGAGCTGGGCTAAGGGCACATGGTCAATTCATTGTTTGAAGTTAAATCCAGATTAGCAGCTTTCTAAAGCTAAACACAGTGCCATATGTGCTCAAGTTACAAGATTAAGATGCTATTCAAATTCAGTAACAGAAGTCTTTCATTTGTAAATAATCCAACCAGAAACAAAAAAAAATTATCAAAAAAGAAAACAAAAAGGTTCTTAACTAGCCTGAGAAGAGATAAAAACAAAATTAAAAAGCCAACTTGTTCTTGCTCTTGGAACAGATGTCTAGTATGGAAAAATCAGCAGGTAAAAATTTTTCCCCTTTCTTTACAGTATTACATTTAAAAGAAAAGTTGAGCCTAGTATCAATTTCAAAAGATTTTAGATTTTCAGTAACACATGTTTTAAGTTAGGAAAATAATATTTAAGAACGCATGAAGTAACATTGTATTAGGTTTAAGAAAGAAAATGTTTTGACAATTGCATGAAAATATATCACAATAGAAAGAACTACAAGAAATTAGGCAACATTTCTTTTTTAAATTCTATTTAATTAAACAGGGTTATTACACACTCATGTTGCAGAAAACAACAGGACCCATATTAATTAGAAATAATCACTGTAGCAAGTTAGGCAAAATAATGCTTGTAGGCTTTCATGATGGTGGCGATGATCTATTATTCATAATTCTTGATACTTCAATAGATCTCAATTATTAGGAAAACAGCTAGAAAAAATTATTTATTAGCTTAGCAGTACTATGAATCTCAGAGCAAAATATAGCAATAAGAGGACAAACCCAAATTCCCTACAACAGGGTGATTATAACTAACTCTGGTTGTATGCTGTCAAAGGATTGGTTATATGTTCTCAAAGGAATCTGATAAAAATATGTGGTATATGTCAAATGCCACATTAAATTTCTTTGAAATAACAATTCCCACTCATTATTCCATAGGTTACAAAACTAATATTACCTATGTTTCTTTTTTTTCACTTCTGCTTGTTAACAAACAATAAAGTACCATTTTTACTTCTCCAGTCCAAATTTTGTCTACCCCTGCTTTGGATAGTTTCCATTTTCAGATAAAGTAAAATGTGCAGTCAGTCTCTAAAAACAAGAGTTAGCTTTTCATTTACTGAAATATAACATTGCTATGCTATGGGTGATGGTACTATAGAATTAAAATTTCCTGCCTTCATCGGATCCTTAAGAAAAGATGTTTGCAGTCAGGAGAAAGAGTTAATTGCAAGTTGAGAGTGACCAAGGAGTGACTGAAAGAAAAAAATGGGAAAGTCCACCTATAAAAAAATGGTAATAGAGAAGCTTGTAGAGAAGGGATGGTATTAGGTCACCAATAAAGCTTCCTGTATTTGGATTTACTCTTTTAAAACATCTTTACATGTTTGACTATACTTAAGGGACTATATGTTAAGTCCTCGGACTTCCAACCAGTGCTTTGTTTGCAGCCGAGGTAACACCAGACGCCAAGTTGCAGTTGAACCATTTATTAACAAGCTCACATAGAACTACGACAGAGACAACAAGAGGCCGTCTGACGGCTATTTGTAAGACCGCTATCGGGCGGCCAGTCAATCCGCCTGTCCCCCAGTGCGCTGGAACCAGTTTAAGTTTAAGTTTTATTTTATTTATATGCTGCCCTATTCCCTGAAAGGGACTCAGGGCGGCGAACAACTTAAAC